AGAGGCTTGTCTAAAATGGAATCGTGCCTTCTTCTAAAACATCATTATCTCGTTGTAGTGCCCTCCCCTGATTGTCTGCACCATTCTGGTTTCACTGTAGAATGTCTGAAGATTACTGTTTACATGGCGACCATGTTTTGTGGCCCCGTTAACTTAAGCTGACGAGGGGAGACCACTCCACATAACTCTGTCTGACCGGAAGTGGTGAAAACTTACAACAACAAAAAACTTTGAACTTGAAAAAACTAGATTAGCTGGAGAGGGCACTTGATAATTAGAATATAATAGGACAAAATCATGAGAATGATTTTAGTGCTGTGTGATTTAACTTCCGCATGGGTTTTTATTATGTGTGATTTTGTTAAGTGTATTAATTAATTGGTTTTCAATTATGTGTGACTTAGTAAAGGATTTTAATGCATAGAGATCTATGTTTTTATAATTTGTTTTTTTTTTGTTATGTCTTTACTTCCTATATGTCTTGCTAGTATAACAAAGAAATCACCATAATGTCTGCCCTTAGTCTACCTTATTGCAATGAGTATGTTGTCAAATATTGCTGTCGTTTTTATCGGTTTTTTTTTTGGGGGGGGGGGGGGGGCTATCATATGCCCGCTTGCTATTTCTACCACCAATTCGGATCCTTGGCTTGAGACCTTAGATCTTCCCTTGACCGAACTGTCCCTCATGTCCAAACCAGGTGGTGCGATGCTGTGGGGGAGGAAACCCAGGTGTCTAGCAGGTGGTGACATTGGTGATTCCTAACCCCGGCTAATGAGCAAAAGCCTGAGACGAAAATAGCCGCTTAAGAGAGAGAGAGGGGAGGGGCGGGGAAGATGGTAGATCATAAAAGTTGAAACAAAGCTTCCCGGGCAGATGAGGTTCGATATCTGGGGACAGCAACTCTTCTAGGGGAGAAAACTCCAAAATCAAACAACTGCTGCCTTGTAGTTTGTTCTTAGTTGGACAAAGCTATGGAAGCAAACAAAAAAAAACAGCCTGAAACCGAAGTCAAAAGCGCATAACAAGTTGACACGTAATTCTTAACTGTGTTGGAGGGAATCCATTCCAACATCAAAAATTATGCACGAAGAAAAAGAAACAATGCTTTAAATTAATCATTACACACTACGATAGGTAAAATAGAAATCTTATCTCAATCTCTCAGTACACATTATCCATTAAATGTGGGTTAATGGGGGTTGTCCAGGGGTCCGTATGTATTGGGGATCATATTGAGCGGACATTCACTGAGTGGATGAGTGATATTGTCCGGGGGTCCTTATTGAGAAGGGTTTGAAAAGGGATCAGTATGAAATTATTTTAGAGACCTCAAATAGCTGATCAAAATATCTCAGTGTGTTGATTGTCCTGTGACCCATGTATCTGGGGACGGCGTGGTCGGATGGAAGAGCGTACGGCTGCTAGCCTGTAAATCTCGAGTTCGGATCTCGGCCCCAACTCGGGACTGTACGACTAAAATCTCCGCTGATGATATAAAAAGCATTGCTGGCATAGGAAAAAAATAATTACCTCCCATATCAATAATGAAAACATTGTTCAAGGGGAAATAACATAACATTATATTAAAAAAATTAAAACAGTAACGAGTAAGTAAGTAACAGTTTATAAAAATAAAAAAAGAAGATATTTGTTTTTTAAATTATTTACTAGTAAAACAATTTATTTTATATTTAAGTGTATGGTTTTATAATTTTTTTTAATTTATTTTATTACTCAAATTGAAAATTAAAAAATGCAAACACAAGCTTTATGGATTTACTTTTGGTATTTATAAAAATAATTATAGTTCAATGAGTTTTCGTTTACTTGTGCCCTGTTTAGTCAAGTTTTTTTTAGCCATTTATTTGACCCTTGAATCATTATTTAATTACACATTTGCATTTTCAGTTTCAGGTTGGTTTTTAATTTTTATTTTTTCTTTATATTTAGACGTTTTGTATTAGATCTATGTATAAGTAAACCATCTTAAATGAATGAAAGTAGGCTACAAGCAAGAAAGAAATATTACTATTGTAAATCAATATCAGTCCTCAAAAGCCGATGATGAAAACTGTAATACTAAAGCGAACACACAACTGACGCTATAAATTACGTGTTTTGGGCAAAAAAAAAAAAAAAAAAAAAAAAAAAATTTTTTTTTAGCCATTTATTTAAATTTAAATCTTTGATTTACCATTTTTTTTTAAATGCGAAAAGTGTAGACCTACTTGAGCAGTGGCGTAGGCAGGGGAGGGGGGGGGGGGTTATGGGGGGGGGGGCTATACCCCCCCCCCCCATGGACCCCTTGGTATGTATATAAAAAGTATGAGGGGGCTGCAAATCGAAAGTTTTAGGGGGGGGGGGGGGGGGAGGGTGCAAATCGAAAGTTTGTCCCCAGGTAAAAATTGGAACCCCCCCCCCCCTTGACACGATCCTGGCTACGCCACTGTACTTGAATTAAGCTCTTTTGCATTTGGTCTCCTCATATTTTTTGCAAGGAAATTGGTTGAAATAATAAATAAGGAAATAAATAATTAAAAATAATATTAGACACACACGCGCACACACACACACACACACACATATATATATATATATATATATATATATATATATATATATATATATATATATATATATATATATATTTATATATTTATATATTGATATATATATTATGGGAATTGAGAGAGAGTTAGAGTGAGTCAGAGAGGGCATGGTCACTTGACTTGATGATTAGGAAAACACTGGTTTTAGAGTTATTTTATTTTACTATACCCCTACCCCATCTCCACTCCCCCCCCCCCCCCCCCCCACCTCCATTCGACCACCTCATCTACCCGATGGTAAAAATTCTTATGGTCCGGTGTCAGCGCTATCAGTCTTCGCGACGTTTTCAGAGTTCTCTGCCCCTACATCCTGGATCGTGGTGTGTATGACTCGACTCATTTCTCTTGTCTACGATTGGCTTGGTGTGGTAGGGAGGGGGGGGGGGTGAGGAAAATGTGGACTCAAAAATTGTGGGGTTATGTGGGTGGTTTGGAAAAGAGTAAAATAAAAACTACATCACCTTTTGTTTTTTTTATTCATTTGCAGTACATGTAATAAAGGTTAATCACCTAAAAATCAAGATTATGTAAGGTTCTATTTCAGGAAGAAAAAAATTTCATATTTTTTAAATCATCGTGATATGTCAAGTTAAAATATAAATTTGATAAAAACATTTAAATGACGCTCTTAATAGTCTGTCCGTGAATGAAATACCACTTGAAAATTGCATGATCAAATGTTAAAAGCAGGGCAACGTTTAAATGACGTGTCGGCGTAATGGTGTTGCTGTTGTGTGGTACATCAGAATGATGGTGTTGCTGTTGTGTGGTACATTAGATGGATGGTGTTGATGTTGTGTGGTACATCAGATGGATGGTGTTGATGTTGTGTGGTACATCAGATGGATGGTGTTGATGTTGTGTGGTACATCAGATGGATGGTGTTGATGTTGTGTGGTACATCAGATGGATGATGTTGCTGTTGTGTGGTACATCAGATGGATGGTGTTGATGTTGTGTGGTATATAAGATGGATGGTGTTGCTGTTGAGCGGTACATCAGATTGATGCAGTAGCTCACATTTGATGTGATACGAAGCTTTGGTTAATTAATAGAATGTATTTTACAAGTGGTCTGAGAAGGTTCAAACAAGAGAAAATCCCCAGACATTGTTTTTTTTTACAATTTCATATTCGCATAATTGTGATTAGCCTATATACGTAGGCCCTACATACATAAATAATCACTAATAAGGTCGCTATATTTATTAATTAATTAATTAATTTACTTTGCTAGAGTATACAAACAATTTGTCGAAATTGGGTTACTTAAGCTATTTAATAATCACATAAACTACTAATTTATGCCAAGTGTATACTATTCAGTAAATAAAAATGTTTTAAAAATGTAAATAGTCTAAGAAATGATAAAACCATCTTAAATTCTAGTCTACGATAAAGAAACACACAGTGACTCCGCTTAAAGAAAATAAAAAAGGGGGGGGGGTAGTCTTATAGGGGTTAATCTAAATACCCAAACACGGAACTAGTGGTCGCAGGTTGGGTCGTATGTTCTTCTCACAAACAACTTTACAACGTCCGGCTTTAGGCTGATATTAAACGTGTATCCGTTCCGCGTAATACAGAGTGAAGTTGGTACTTACGGGGAGGTCACTCGCAGGGTACTGGTAATTTCTTCACTGTAATAAAGACTAGTCGGTGCAATGCTGTTCTTGTGAGATTTGTGATATTTCAGTAACTTTATTCTGTGTTTATTATTGTGTTTATTTTTGTTTATAAAGGTAAGATTGTTAAAAATGTGTCTAACATGCAGTAATTTAACAATATTTTTACTTTTCAGCTAACACGGAAATATAAAGGTAGCACTTAAATAGTCACATAATTTATTTGTAAGTTTTTTTTAAAAACCGTGTGTATGTGTATATATATATATATATATATATATATATATATATATATATATATATATATATATATATATTAATATATTACAGTTTTTAGCCCTGATCAGATAAATATGCCTATACATATTGATATATACTGGTATTTATTTATAAATGTATGTCTTATATTATATATATATATATATATATATATATATATATATATATATATGCCTATATATATATATATATATATATATATATATATATATATATATATGCATACATATATAGATATATACTGGTATATATACATGTATACATAATGAATGTACATATATATATATATATATATATATATATATATATATATATATATATATATATATATATATATATATATATATATATATATATATATATGCCTATATACTAAGTACAGATTATAAAATATTGGGATCTTGATTATAACTTATAACTACCATTGATATTAAACATAGATGATATTAATTAACAACATCCTATATCTATTTCCAGATCATAATTTAAGAAACTTCACAACATAATATAAACTCGTATTTGACCTGTAAAAATGTCTAAAAGAAAATCTGGCTTGTTCGGTGGCAGAAACTCTAAGTTACCCATTTCAATGACGTCATACTCAGGAAAAGACAATCCCGGCTTCACCCATAACGAAGATGGCGTCTCGAACAATTCCACTTCCGTTGAACCTATATCCATCATATCCATCCACCCTACTCTAACAAATGGGGCGAAAGTTGATTCAGGGGCGTACAGTGGCGCCACAAATGGGGTTCTGCCTTCAGGGGACGACACTGGGCCCGTATCGAACGGTTCTACGCATCCAATTCAGAAACAGACATCAGCGGTGGAGATGAAGAGATCTATAAACCTGCTCCACTGTACCGCCATCATGGTGGCCGTCACAGGCCACTCTTCTGTTTTTATCTCCCCTTCCTCCATCCTGGCCCAAACTGGATCCGTCGGCTCATCCTTAATCGTCTGGCTCATCGGTGGGCTCATTAATTTAGGACTGGCCCTGTGCTTCGCGGAACTGGGGACCATGTTCCCGAAAGCCGGGGGCCCTTACTCGTACGCCATGAAAAGTTTTGGGCCCCTGATGGGCTTTCTGATGATGTGGGGCTACACCGTGTTGATAGCAGGACCGTTCTGGGCTTTCCTGGCCTACACGGCGGCTCTGTACATCGTTAAACCTGCTTTCCCAGACTGTACTGGCGATGACGTCAAAAAGGCGGTTAACATTCTAGCTGGATGGATCATGAGTAAGTTACCAATTATATATAAAGTAATGTTAACGTATGTATGTCAACGTGTACCTCTCTACAGACATTAAGGTTTTTATGTGCTTTGGCCATAGGGGCTTTGACCACGGCCCATATGGTCAAAGTACTTATGATTAAAGCGATGCGTACCGCATTTGTATGTAGACTATATATATATATATATATATATATATATATATATATATATATATATATATATATATAACACATGATCTCAGGGCGAATGACCTCAGATAAAATATCTTAGAACAAATGCTCTCACGAGCAATAAATCTGCTGATTTTCTTCTAATTTCCCGCCAACTGTCTCGGTCGTCTGCTGCTTGGAGTAGTTCTACAACGGACAGCCCTGCCCTATCTTTGATGTCCTCCTTCCAGTGACGTCTTTGCCTTCCCCTTCATTATTGTTTATAAAATTTACTGTCAAAACAAACTTAGTTAGATTTACTTGTCTTTTTTTTTCTATTTGTATGAATTTTCGACGGAGGGTTATTTGTTTAAATTTATTTTATCGTTTGGTTAAGTCTGGCATAGATCATAAATCTGCCATAAATCTAAAACATATATCATCTTCAATTAACAACCAGACGCGTTATTATTTTCTTTCATTAGAAAGGTCAAATCAAATCTTGAATTTAAGACTTGATGTTTTTTTTGTGTGATAAAAAAACTGTTGACATAACCCCAAGCCGTACCCTTGGTCTAATGCCATAAACTCAATCTAGGATAGAAAAACAATTTATGTCTAGTCGCAGACGTCATTTCGACATTTTAATTCGCGGTGAAAGTACAAAAAATAGGCGACTGAATTAATGAAATATCGCATCATTAACAAAATATGATTTATTAATATTTGTGTAATATATGTGTGTGAGAGTGAGAGAGAGAGAGAGAGTGTGTGTGTGAGTGTGTGTGTGGTCCAGGGAGAAGGAGGGAGGGGGGGGTCTATCAGCTTGTTATTACCGGGGAGGTTGTGTTGATTAGACATATTAGGCTTACAAAACAATGCTGATAGCAAAACAACACAATGCCGTTTAGCTACTGCCGTATTATAGTATTACCAAGTCATAAAGTGTCATAAATAACCAAGTGCCTCCTAGCTACAGTGTTACCAAGTTTAAAAAAATAATAATTAAAATAAACCGCGCAATTGTGACAGCTATCTCCGTGGATTAGTCTTCATGAGTTACTGCACCTGGAACAACGAAAAAATAAAATTTTTATGTAAACCCCTCAAAAAGTAACTGTCGAGTTAGTTAGAAACTTTGTTGTACCCAACGATCTATAAGGGATATAGGATAACAGTCGTCTGTTGGATACTTTGGATAGTCGTAGGGATTGATCTAACAGCGCTAATGGGCATAGAAGTCATGACTCGGACCGACGGAGAAGTCAATATTTAAACTTACGGGAAAGTAAACGGAGAAGTGAAGTTTTGGTAATAAGGAAATCTTTCGCCCCTAAGAAGTCAAATTAAATAATCAGTAAATCAATATGCCTTCAATGATCAATAAAAAAAATGGGCTGCTGTATACAGATATATAATTATATATCAAATGACATACACCACAAAAGGTGTGACACACCATGGGCTGACACCACACAAGGTGTGATAGACAGGTGAACATTGGCCTACAAGAAGCTCTCGGAAATCGGGTACGACATCCGTTAAATCGAAAATAGAACACATATGCATACGTGTATATATCTGGGCAAAAATACAGTACATATACATACGCACACATATATTTCATAGGCCTAATTATATATATATATATATATATATATATATATATATATATATATATATATATATATACATGCACATGTATTTATATATATGTACATATATATATATATATATATGTACATATATATATATATATATATATATATATATATATATATATATATATATATATATATATATATATATATAGCCTATATATATATATATATATATATATATATATATATATATATATATATATATATATACATATATATACATATATACATACATATATATATATATATATATATATATATATATATATATATATATATATGCACATGTATTTATATATATGTACATATATATATATATATATATATATATATATATATATATATATATATATATATATATATATATATATATATATATATATATATATATATGTACATATATATACATATATATATATATATATATATATATATATATATATATATATATATATATATATATATATTCACGATTAGACTAATCATTTACTCATGACGAGTATATTTAATCTCGCAGTGTAAAAAAAACAGTACCATCATTTATGTCCTTATTAATTATCTGATTAAGTGAAGTGTCCTTATTAATGACCTAAATGGCAAAATTTCCATATTAATGACCTAAATGTCAAAGTGTCCTTATTAATGTCTTAACTGTAAAAGTGTCTTTATAAATGATCTAAACATCAATGTGAACTGGTTTAAAAAATAACTATGACGAAATGCTGAGTCAAACATAACGAGTCTTGGGTTTTTTTTTCTGTTACCTACACTAGTAAAGGCGCACCCTTCCATATAGGAAGTACCCTGCTAGCTTTCCAACCGGAGAGTTGTATATTTACATCCTGGTTGGGTAGATATGTGACCGACCCACTGGTCCACTTTTCACACCCCCTACCTGGTCTCGTTTTACCTGTAACGGTTTTGTATGGAATCCTTACCTATTTATCCTGGTGTGTGGGTTTTTTGTTTTTTCCAATAAAACTTTCTTTAGAAATTCAAGCGGATTTTTTTTTACCTCGATATCCGGGTATAAAATTTTAGTAGTATTGCCAGATATGCGGATTGCAGGCTAAATTTGTTTTTTGAAAGTTTAAAGTGTAGTGCTAAAACACTTTGTAAACCTATTTTCTTTAGTTTATCTAAGAAGATATGACTAAATTTGTTTCTTTTTCATTTTTGTTTTACAAAATCACTCAATATTTTAAACTATTTATTGAAATGAACTAGTTAAATTTTAGCACGTAAACTAGAAGTTACTACTTTTATTTAATATCTTTTAATACGAAATAGAACGTTATTCTTTACTGACTAGCTTATACGTGCATTTTTTAAATACATGAGTTCTATTTAAAGAAGCTATTTTAGATACTCTTCAAACGGACATGAAATTTTAAAATCAGCTTCTTTTAATCTTCTAACTTAACCATTAACTCTGTATTATTGTCAAGATTTGCATGTTAAATTTATATATGTTCTTTATAACAGTTACCTTCCACAAACAGAAATAATTATCCTATAAACTATGTTTTTGTGAAAAACTATTTCATTTTTTTAAAAGATCAACTTCGTGCTTTTAGTACATACAATTTTATTTTCTGTATTAAAATTTAAAAAAAAACAAAAACAGAAATATATTTTTTATATTTTCAACCGCAAAATCTTTACTTTATTCTGAGAGCACAAAAATAAACTAAAAAAAACGTACAGAGCAAAAAAATAAAATAAAACTTGTAACAAGATCAAGTTATTTGTGAAGATTTTTAAAATAAATAAAATGTACGCCCACGCTCTCAATTTTTCTACGTATAACTCAATAGCAGGCATCGTTTTATAAGGTCATTCGACTCGCACACACACACATATATATATATAATATTATATATATATATATATATATATATATATATATATATATATATATAATATTATATTATATTATATATATATATATATATATAATATTATATATATATATATATATATATATATATATATATATATATATATATATATATGTTTTACATTGCTTCTGTTTGACTTCCATGCACCAGCTTTACAAAACATTCTATATGGGTAACACGTTCAACATTTACTCATGTCTACACTACACAAAAACAAAATCATTCTTCTTCTTCTTCTTCGTTCTTAATTATTAGTGTTGAAGGGGATCGAGAATCATCTGCTAGTGGGTTTGAACTCGAGACTTTGTTCGAATGTATCAACCATGAGCTTTTTTTTTGCCGACTCGACCACGCCTCCAACGCAATTAAGCAGTACGTGTCAACTGGTTATGCGCCATTGAGGCCATTGACTCCGATTTCAGCCTGCTTTTCTTTTTGGATTTGCTTCCATAGCCTTTGTCCAACCAAGAACGAACTACAAGGCAGCAGTTGTTTAATTTTGGAGTTGTCTCTCCTAGAAGAGTGGCTGTCCCCAGCTTCTTTCTCTTCTTCTTCTTCGTTCTTAATTATTAGTGTTGAAGGGGATCGAGATTTATCTGCCAGTGGGTTTGAACTCGAGACTTTGTTCGAATTTATCAACCATGAGCTTTTTGCCGACTCGACCACGGCTCCAACACAATTAAGCGGTACGTGTCAACTGGTTATGCGCCAATGAGGCCATTGACTCCGATTTCAGCCTGCTTTTCTTTTTGGATTTGCTTCCATAGCCTTTGTCCAACCAAGAACAAACCACAAGGCAGCAGTTGTTTAATTTTGGAGTTGTCTCTCCTAGAAGAGTGGCTGTCCCCAGCTAACGAACCTCATCTGCCCGAGGGTTCGAACTCGAGACTTTTCAAAACCATTCAGTTGGTTACAAATAATGGGTGATCACTTAACACTAGATGTAAACCTAAACCCAACACCCTCTGTAAGACAGCAGCCAAATCGTGTTCGATTACCACCTTGATGCAAGTATTTCAATTATTTTTTATTCCACTTGATTTTACAGTTATTCTACTTAGAAGTATAGACATATAGTGTAATTTAATGAATATTTATCTCAGCTTTAAAAAAAATAGATTATCTACATTCATTAAATTCTTTTGAAATTGACAGATATAAAATCAACAGGCGACTACCACATGTAGATAATAAGACAATACACAATGGTTGTTGAATAGATTTAAACATTGTAATAACATTGCTTTTATATGTTTTTTTTTTAAATAATCAACATTACACATGTACATTC